GGCTTGGATCAATTATTCCCAAGTAATAAGGAATTTTGTGAAGCGCTTCCATTTAGAACAGTTAAGAAATCTGTATAGATGTCTCATACTAGTGCAACTTTGATAGAACGGAGGTCTACATTCTACGACTCTATATAAGTACACCATCCATCACTTACAGCGAAAATTGATCAAAACCACCAACCTTCAACTTTTTAAAACTACACTGGTCATTATTGTCCCTTATGGATTTTCCCTTTCACCCGTCCCTTACCAAGTTGGCTTCAGTGGTGTTGAACATCGCGTCTGCGGGTAATCTTATGGATTTGTAGCCAAGAGTGCCAACGTTGCCTCCCATATATTTATAGGCTCATGTAGGCAGCGCAAGAAAACAGAGGAATTGGAATGCATGACATCATACGAAGCACTGGCATTCGAACTTACCCCTCGCGTTCCTGGAGTTTTTTTCCTTTCCCAATGCCATCCGCTAACTGTCTGTGGTTCGTTTACTAATGTCACCTGACGTGGAGAGACCGACACTGCAAACGTCAAAGTAGCAAAAGTAGCGATCCAAAAATGTGCCACACACTCAGTCATACCTGAAAATGATTAGATTAGTATAGGTAGTCGTTTGAATGCGAATGTAATAGAGTGTTTTCGATTTGTTAAAATTTAGCTTGGCAGCGAGGCCTACAAAGGAAAATGAATGAGCATGTTTATTTATTCCTCTTGCTTGTGCCTCTAGGCCTCGCCATCAAGCTGAAATTCAATGTACGATAGTCTGAATGGGGCGGTGGCTTTAACGGCTGATGTGAAGGACATTTCGTTATAGTGTACTTGAGGTGCGAATACTTAGGTCAGGTGACTTTGAACGCTTAGTGGACTTTTGCGACCACGCGGTAATGTTGTTTACTAGTTTTCGTAATTCGTCGTCGAAGTTGCTGTTTTTAGAGTCAAGTTCGAATAAATGGTTTAACTCAAAACCATACTGGTAGCAGAGGGAGGTTCAAGTTGTGGAAGTTCTTCAAATTTGACGGCATTTTGTTGAATTCGGCGAATTTCCTGAACCTGAACCTCGCTCCGCTACTAGTATGTTCTTAGAGTCAAGTTCGAATAAATGGTTTAACTCAAAACCAACGGCTAACAGCTAATATTTTGGCTTTTTTACGGCTAACGGTTCAATTATTTTCCTTATGGTTAACAGAAATCTGAGAAATTAATTGCCATCGTTAAAAGCTAAAAATTAACCTGAAGAAGGTAAAATTTTAGACAGCGTTTACCGGAAAAATTTGAAAACGCGGCTTTATCTCTACGGTTTGGCCTACCGAAAACGGTCTTCAAACACGGAGGAATTTGGAAACGCCGGCTTCTCGTTTTCGTGTGGACGAAAACATTTTGAAAAAGGAGCTTTCCGAAAGATAGCATCACGACACTCATGTGATTTGTTCACAATGAAGAAGGGCTATGCCCGAGACGTTTGTGATTTTTCACAAGATGACACTTCGACATATTTCTACGTTATCAGTTTTTATTTTTATTTTCTTTTGAACGTTTATAGAAGTGACAGGCATCTACCGTGGATAACAACTTCCTTCGTTTTTGTTCATCCTCTACATGTGATTTTCCTACTCGAGTTTTCTTTAAACAAAAATTAATGTTGCGTTTTCAAATTTCTCCGGCACGGCGTGAACGGAAAAAAAAATTTAATGTGTTTTCAGAGTGATATTTTTACGAGGCTTAAGGTTAAAATTTTCAAATTTTTATGCCTAACGGCTAAATTGTTGGCCCATGTTAAGGCTAACGGTTAACCGGCTCCATTGACACCTCATGTATCGAAAGTAGCGCATTGTAATTAAGGATTTACAATGCGAGAGAATTTGAAAATTCTGTCAAAATTGCACGAACCGAGTGCAATTTAAAAGAATTTTCAAATGTAATGATAACTATAATCGTAATTAAATTTGAAAAATTTGCACTGCAGTGCAAATCAAAAATTAACAATAAATCAGCCTGCTTTCTTTCAATCACGCTGAAGTAATTTTCTTAATCAAAATAATAATAATAATAATAATAATAATAATAGTAATAATAATAATATTACGGTTGGTAGCTATTGGTTAGAAGGACTGCCAAAGTACAAAGGTTGTAATCTGTCCCGCGTGGATATTAGCTTATAACTCAGTTTGTATCGGTAATCAAATAATCTCGAGTGTAATTTGGACTGCAAGTGAATTTTTAAAAGTCTTTACAAAATCATTTGATTACCTGTTAATAACATATATGCATTCTAATTTCAACTCTCTGCACTGATTGGGATTCATTGACGTGCTCTCGACCAAATTAGCATGCTGATTTTTTGCATCTATAAATTATTAGTCTTATTACTTATAAAACACTTTAAACACTTTGAAGCCCTGATTTTTTTGTTTGTTTGTTTCAGGCTTCTTCTTGCCAATTGCTTAAATTGGAAAATTTACTGCGATGATCATTCTTCACTTTCATCTACAACCGCAGTTCATATATGAATTATTTCNNGCTCCCAATGTGTGGCTTCATAGCTCAGTTGGTAGAGCATCGCACCGGTATCGCGGAGGTCACGGGTTCGAATCCCGTTGAAGCCCTGATTTTTTTGTCTCAGGCTTCTTCTTTCCAATTGCTTAAATTGGAAAATTTACTGCGATGATCATTCTTCACTTTCATCTTATAAAACACTCTTCTAAGGCATGATATTGTTGTCTTGCCTCTTTCTCCTTCAGAAATTTAGGGAAGAATTAGAAACGAAATTTCAGCAGTAATTTCTCAAGTTAAGTCGTCACTACTTATCATGATCAGCCTTTGACGTAACCCGCAAAAACGAACTAACGAAACAAAAACCCAAAAGCGGTATCAAGAAACCAACTTGACATTTATAATCTTTTTATTTTGTCTGTAGCGTCACTCAGATAAAGATATCACGATGATATGCTGTTGCACACGACCTCTATTTCCGACATACGACCTCTCAATTCCGCCTTGATAGTAAAATTCGGTTTTCAGACAATAAGAATTAGCATTGAAACTCAAAGAACGAATAAAATCAACCAAATGACCTGACCTATTAGACTTTCAAATATCAATTACAGTAAACTTAATTCTTTGTTTTTTCACAGGCCAGCGCTTTTCGCCGTCGGTAGAGAGCAATATAGATACTTTTCCTGTACACACTTTTGCGTACTGAATTGTTTTCTTCGATTCGCGAGTGGATTTGAGTTACTAGTTTGGTTCTACTTCGACAAGGGATCGAGTCAAAACTTTCCTTTTCGAATACTCTCCAAAATCACGAGAAATGCGTTTCTCGTGGCGTCTTTGACACCGCCGAAATACACCGGCAAACGAAAGTATGTACGAGACTGAATCAAAGTACCTAAAGCTCAGCAAAGAGAGTGGCTGAAGCGGACCTCAGCCACAAAGCATCTGAACAATTGTAGGTCCAGAAATCTCTTTGTTTCTCTTCTGAAAACTGTGATATACTTTTGGTTACAGTTTAGAATACACCCAATTGCCAAATCAAGAGTTTGGAAATCGAAAATTCGATTGTCTTCCAGTGACAGAAGGTTTTTCTTATTTAGTTCATGACGTTGATTATCAGGACAATAAAGTCAATTGATTGAGCTAGCGATTCGACTGGGTTTGAGGAAATTGAGTACTATTGGAATAAACTTACCTATATAGTATTATATTCTCGACCACCAGTCTTAAAACATCGAAGAATTCTTTGAAAGGGGACCGTAAGGTGACCAGGAAATTAGAAAGCAGCTCCCTAGACGAACGGTTTACATGGTTCACCGAAATCTGATAAGTAACCAAAACCTCAAGAGTGATACGCTATTGATCGTGACTGAAGCTAACTCGGCTTGTCACGTATCGCCTCTAGCCAGAAATGCAGCGTTGCGAGCCAAGCCAAATAACGGATTCAAAGGAGGTTACTAGAAATGCATTCATTGCCAAGCGGTACGTCTAAACAATACGACAAGCTCTGTAAAGTCATTGAGAAGAAATATAGAAAGCCTCCAACAGCTAAAGAAAGTTAAAGAACGCCACTGAGCAGTCTCCATAGAGTCTTACGAAGACTGTATGCTGTCAGTTTCGTCGCTTTTGCTTTACAAATGGTACTTATTTTGAACTTTCCCTTTTTCAGGACTTACTGGTATTGTGCATGGTTAGTCTGCAAAGGTGGCAGCTTCAAATAGGACAGGCTATAGCTATATTTCTGATGAAGCCACTACCAAAAGAGAATTACACCCCATTCTGGATCATCACGGTTTATGTTTACGTAGGCCTCTGCCTCACCCCTACATGTAAATAACTACAAAATAGATTTTGTAAACACGTTCAAATACCTGGGAAGCATCATGGATGAGAAGGGAGGAACAGATGCAAACAGGAGCAAAGCCGCTTTTGCATCTTTGAAACCTCTGTGGAGATCAAACATCATCTCGCTTAAGACTCCGGGGAGGGCGGGGGGGGGG